TCTATAGTTTTGCCTGTATGGAGGGATGGAGACTGACCAGCAGAACATACTTGAGGACATGTTATCAAATAAACACCCCCTCTGCAAAGTGTGCAAATGAGTACGGAGGAACAGAGTCCTAGAGTCCACAGGAGCTGATCTTGCACTAGAGCAAAGCAAAATAAAAATCCACTGCCATCACATGGGACTGTTAAAGTCCCCAGAAAGTTTGCCCCATTTTGACTCCATTGGCACTCGCTACAGCCTGTGTTGCGTGATCACTGGGATAGTATTACGGGTGCAAGGAAAGTGGAGCAAATGCTCAGTGGGCATGGGCTGTAAATCTCACTGAACTTTTGTTTTCAGCAGTATTAAAGATTGAAAGACTAGTAGCACAAATCTATATGTATTTCCTGATTTCAGAGTTGGCTTCTTCCCAGGAATAGGACTGAATCAGACATTATACCAGTCCTGTTAGGATTTGTAATTACTTTACCCAATTCAAGGTCCATCGTCTTGCCTTATTGTTTTCTTACACTGCTTCTACATTGTCATACAAGCTGTCTGATATGAGGAGACACACTGATCCCCTTCACCAAATCTGTGCCAACAAGGCTCTGATGCAGAGCTTGGAAAGTTACTTTGAAGAAGAATGAAACCAATGATGCACTGAAGCTATCTTCAACCGGCAGTACTAAGGCTTCAGCCTAACTATGTTAATTTGTTTCGAAAGTAACTTCCAAGCTAAGCCCTGATCGAGCCTTTTAGAAATTTCCCCAGGACCCCCGTTGGTGTTCAATGCTTCCGGCGCCTGACGAAGGAAAACTGAGTTGCAATGTAACCTCGCCAACACATGGTGGCAGCAGATAGCACACTTCTTGGCGATCCAGTCTCTTTGGCGAGAGCCACATTCTTTTAAGTCAGCTGCAGCTGTATCTTTTCTTCTTGTTAGGGAACACATGGGTTTCCAGCTTCACAATAAACAAGCTTCGGAAATTGCTGCAGGAGGAGGATGGGGTGAAATGCATTCATATGATAATGCTTCTTACACAGGTGGCCTCAATTTGCCACGCTAAGCAAAAAGTGAATAGTTCTTAACATAAAACATAATACGGTACAATATATAGTGCGCTTGAACACTCAGTTTCCTCTCTCCTATTGAACCCATTGGGAGGTATAACCTCTACTTTTCACAGAATCACTGAGCTGCAAGGCCCATCATTCCTTACCAGTGTCTATACTGGGAAAGATTGCTTAACAACATCTGGAGGGCTACACACTTCCCCATCTCTGGCTTATCTCATACCCAGAAAGGCAACAGCATTCCATCTCCATAAGGCCAGCATGCGAAGACCTAAGCACTGACAAATTTGAGGACCTAAGAAGAAATAAAATTTAGTTTAAAAAACACACCAGACATATATAATTCCATGTCCACGCTAGAATGGCAAACCCTAATGCTCCCAGTTACAGCAATGCAACACATTTTATACACTTTTAGGTTCCTCTTCCCCCCCCCCCGTACCTTTTTAAACTTTTTCCTCAGTGGTGCAAAAACTAAAGAATTTTGCTACATTCATTCATTTAGATTCTAAATTTTAGAACAAGGGAAAAAAACTGCAATTCGGGAACGGGAGGGGGGGTGCAGAGGGCCTGCATTCCTACAATCATGGCCAACGAAGCAGCGGGGGGGAAGCTCCCAGAGCAAGTCCCAGGGAGCATGTAGTCTTGCAGATCACTATCAGCCTCATCTGGAGCCAATTCAAACTAGGGAGAAGTGAAACCTATCTGGAGGATATATCAGGGATCCCCTACCAACTCTCCTCAGACTGAAAAAGCAATTCGGATGAGGAGCGAAATGTTTCAGCCTAATAAGAAAGACGTCCAGTTGTGTGATTCAACTTCCAGATAACCTCACTTGGATGACTGAGAATCTTCAAAGATATACACCCACTATAGTGAAGCATGATGGGAATTGCAGTTCTACAACATGTGGAGAGTGGTCTTTTCTTCACTGCAGCTTTACTGAATCGTCCTGAATGTGTCTGGGCTTCTGGAACCTCTCAGGGGCATCAGATGGCCACCTTCTTTTCCTGAGAGGGTTTTGGTGCCTTTTGCTGTTTGAACAGCAAGCTGGCCATATATTCCCCCCCCCTCACTTGCATCTGTCTCCCTGCTGTGGGAAAACTTCATTCGACAAATGGTTGCTCTTAGCAGTGGTGTGGAAAGCAGGGCAGGGACCCCGGGAGGCTCCCCTCGAGGGGGGGGGTGTAGGATAAGAGCGACAAGAGTCCTGAGAAACAAAAAGCCCCGGTGGGAGCTTTCGCGGTGCCCTTGTCCGAGACTGGATCTGGGTCTGAGGACGTGGATCGCTGCAACCCGCCTAAAGGAGATCGGATCGTCGTTAAGGTGTCACCAGAGTCCTGTTTGTATCTCTGACTTTTGTTTCGTGCTTGCTTTACCTGCTGACCCAGGTTCAGCCCGGCTACCTTTTGCACACTGCAAGCGACGTTGATCTGAGACCCGTACTTCCCTCTCGGACTGGTGGCTTAATGAATGCCACAGAAGTACGGAGAGGGGTGCTTTGTTCCCTCTTCACCGCCTCGTTTAGACCCATCAATGTCTGGTCGGGCGGGGAGGCGTTCCCCTCATCAAGCACTCTGAAGGCCCTCCGTTTCGAGTTCGGCGGCCGCGTGCTTTTGGCGCATTACGGGAGCTGGGGTGGAACTCCCTCTCGGGGACTCAGAGGACCAAACCCTTAGGAGCAATACGGTCTTCTGCCCGAGTTGTTCTCTCCGTTCTCCGTGCAGATGGAGCCTGCTGCGGACCGGCCCATTTCCTCAACAGGGGAGGCCAACGCTGCCGCGGCCGCTCTTCCAAGAGCCGAGCGCAGCGGCCGGTTCCATTAGGCAGTTAGCTGGGGGGGGAGGGGAGTCGCAAAAACCGAACTGGGAGACAAGAGCCGTGGTGGCGGAGAGGAGGCGGAACCGAGGCGACGGGCCCAAACCGGGACCTCCGACGGAGAAGGGAGCCCGTGCGGGGCCCGCAGTGCCTTGCCATGCGAAGTGGCTGGGTCGAGGGAGTGGTGGGAGACGGGTGTCAGGTAAGGCGGTCGTCGGGACGCTCGTTTTGCACCTGCAGGTGGCTGGCTGGCTGGCTGGAAGGAGGGGGACGAGGCTTCTTGTGAGAACCACCCTGCCTCCACCTTCCGTCTGGGGGGGAGGGAGGAAGCCCGGGGCGCCCTAGGAGCCTTTGCACCGGGGTGGGAACGGAGAGGCGCGTTGCCGGCCGGGGCGGGATCGGGAGCCCGGCGCTGCCCTCTCTCAGGGACCATCCCTGGGCCGTCGGGGCTTGAGGAGCGG